GGCGAGGATTTGAGCAGCCGGGCACAGGCTGGAAGCGCCGGAGCCCGTTTGGGGTTTTGCCCGCGGGGAGGGAGGGAGCGAAGCCGCTCGGGGTTTTTTTCCTTTTTAATCCCTTCCCCTGCTTGAGTCAGAGGCTGAAGTCACCACCGTGCCCATCCCGAAGCTTTTCCCCACCCCCTTTCGCCACGGGGGACTGGTCGCCCCCCAAAAGGATGGACTGACCCCCATGAGTGGGATTTTGGGGACATGAGACCGGGCAACTCGTCGCACAGGTATTTCTCAGGCCGTCGATTCCTCTTAGGGATGAATCCTGCCCCGCCGGGGCTAAAGCCTCGGGGTTCCCCCCGCCCCCCTCCCTGCTCCCAAACCATCCTGTTTGGGAAGGGGAAGTGTCGCCCCAGCTGCTTTTCCCGTTGGGAAGCTGAATAAACAGTCCTTTTCCTTCCCGAGCAGGGTTTTATCGGGGTCGGGCACATCCTGCCTGTGGATGCTTGGGGGCTGTTTCAGTGACAGGGAACATCGTGCCTCAGTTTCCCCATCTGCAAAAAATAAAGGGGGGAGACGATCCAAGCTGGGAGTGATTAGCAGGGAAATGGGGTTAAGCGGGGAGAGACCAGGGAGCCTGGGGACCTAGAAACACTCGCAAAAAAAGGTTTGCAAAAGCTGATCCTACCGCAACCCTGTTTTGAAGAGGAAAGGAGAGTTTTTCCTGTTGCCCACAGGGAGTTTAATCCCAGGTGGGGGCAATAAGAGGAAATAAAGGGGGTTAAAATGCTTACAGAGGGTGGGGGTTGGCCACAAAGGCATGAGAATGGATTATTTTGGCTGCTGCTTCACCTGGGGACCCTTTACCCTGTGTCCTCCCAGGCGTGAGACCATTTATTGCTCTGACGTGGGACGGGGACTCTTGTTCCTTCTCCCTTTTCCGGGAGGGTGAGGAGGGAGGCGGGTTGAGGCTGAAGGGCAGCGCAGCTGTGGGAGCTGCTGGTGCTTCAGCGGGTTTTTCTCCCTCTTACCTTATTTTCCCTAAAATGGAACCCAGGTCTGGCCCTTCCACGGCTTCAGCGATGCTGCCGGGGAAGGCAGAGAAGAGGATCGCTTCGTCCATCTTCATCACCCTGGTGCCACCACGGAGGGAGGCAGTCACCAAGGAGAAAACCCAAAGGGAGACACAGCTGGGTGGTCCTGAGGTCCTGGGCACCCATTGCCCCCGAATCCCACCGCCTCAGCCCCCAGCATTGCCCAATGGAGGTGAGGGGTGTCCATAGGGGCGGCGAGCAGTTCCGGGGGGGATGATGGTGGTGCCGAGGATCCTGCAGAGCTGCTTTGCTAGAGGGTGCCCATGCGGGCAGGGAGGCATTTGGGGTTTTGGGGGGTTATTCCCCAATTCCCTGCACCCACTCCAGGAAGGATCCGGCTGCCGGGCAGGGCTGTGTTTGCTCTCCATTGCTGGGTGCTTATCGGTGCTGTTTGTCCCCTCCGGCCGGGACAGCGTTTGCTTTTGGGGCAGGTCAGCGAGAGCCGCTGCAAAGCTGTTGGGGCGTTATTGGATGTCATTGCCCCCCCTAAACCCACCCTGTCTGGCTTTCACCACAGAAACCTGCCCAGCAGCCCCTGTGCCTTCATCCCCTCCAGTCCTCCTCCTCTCCGAAGCGCCCCAGCCCTTGTCCGCAGAGGCACTGGGTCCAGCCCTGCAGCAGCTGGACCTGGCAGCACCCATCACCCTCCAGGTGAGGACAGTGGGATGCAATCTTCCTGGTGCCTCAGTTTTCCCACCTGCAAGAGCATAAATGCAACGTGCCTTTACCTTCCTGCTCACCAGGCCCCTTCTGCCTTCCCTGCTGAATTGAGGCCGCCCAAACTTTGTCAGGAGCAAGCAGGCAAGCCCCAGTGGCAGGATGCAAATGGATACCTGGAGAGGGATGGCTCCAGGGGTAAGTGAGGCTACGTGCTGTAGGCTCATGCCTGGGTGGGGAAACTGAGGCACACAGCACTGAACCTCTCTTCCCTCTGACCCGCAGACATCTGTGCCTTCTGCCACAAAGCGCTGGGGCCGCGGGAGCCGACGGTGGAGGCGATGCGTACCACGCCAGCTGCTTCACCTGCCGCGCCTGCCGCCGGCTCCTGGCCGGCCAGCGCTACTACCAAAGAGAGGGGCGCCCCATCTGCGACACCTGCTACCAGGTACCTCCCTCGGGGGGGCAGCAGGGTCCTCGGTGGGGAGCTGGCATCTCACACTGTGTCGTTTCACCCCCCCGCTAAACCCCAGGCCACGCTGGAGAAATGTGCCAAGTGCCGGGGGGTGATCACGGAGCGCATTGTCCGTGCCCTGGGCAAGGGCTACCACCCCAGCTGCTTCTCCTGCACCGCCTGCGGCCGGGCCATCGGCACCGAGAGCTTCGCCGTGGACGAGCAGGACGAGGTTTACTGCGTGGCTGACTTCTACAGGTTGGGGAGCGTGGGCATAGGGGAGCGTGTGGGGAGGGGTCGGCTGATCCCCGTCACCCCACGGGGCTCACACCCATCCCCGTTTGCTCCCATCAGGAAATACGCAGCGGTTTGCAGCGCGTGCCAGCAGCCCATCATCCCCCGGGAGGACAAGGACACCTACAAGATTGAGTGCCTGGGACGCAGCTTCCACGAGAGCTGCTACCGCTGCGAGGTACGGCCCCCACGGGGCTAGGGAGCACCCCAGAACCTAAGGGGTTTGGTACCGAGCTTTGGAAAGCACAGCCATGGAGCTTCACAGCGCCCAAGGGTATTTTTTTAGCCACCAGTTTATCTTGCAAGTGACGGGGAGGGGGAAAAATAAATACATCAGGTGAAAAGGACAAGATGTTTGGCCCGAGAGCTTCAGCTTTTCACGCTGTTTGTGGAGTTTGTTGCTTTTTTTGCAAGCACTGGTTTTGCAAGAAAGAGAGGACACAACGTGGAATGGGCACCCCTAAAATATGTCCTCCCTTTTCCCTCTTGCCTCCAGAGCTGTGGGACACCCCTGTCACCAGAGCCAACAGAGAGCGGGTGCTACCCCCTGGGCGACCACCTCCTCTGCAAGACCTGCCACATCCACCAGCGAAATGAGTCATCCTGCTAAAACCCTGCAGCTCAACATCCATCTTCCAGCATCAGGCACCAAAAAGGGGTGACCCATGGCCAGTCCTGGGTACCTGCTGTACCCCCAGAGAGCTGCTGGACTGGTGTTTTTGTCACCAAAACACACCTCAGACCCTGTTCTGCTGGGCTGGCCAGGTGGCCTGTCCCAGTATGGCTCTGTGCTCCTTATGGACCTAAAAGGCTGTGGCAGAGGAGCTGAGGTTTTGTTCTTATTTCTTCTTTTTTTAAAAAAAAAAACTTTTCTGAGGCCAATCTGGTTTCCTTGAGTGTTTTGGTTTTTTTCTTTCCAAGCTTCCTTGGGGTTTCACTGAACCATTTCTCTCTGCGGTGATGCAGGGAGCGGGCACGGATTATTTTTTTTTGTTACTTGCAGTTAAATAAAACCCCGAGTTTCAAACCCCTGTTCCTTTCATCCGCCCTGCATCCCAAACCCATAAACCACAAGTTTAAAAATGAGAGAGAGAGAAGGTACTTTTTAGCTTTTATAATTGTGGCAAGAGTTGAGTCATCACTCAGGGATAAGGCAGATTTTGGGGTGCAGGGATCTGGCAGTTGCCTGGGGCAGAGCCCTTGGAGGGACATTTTTTGGGGGACTGGATTCAGGATTTTGCCATGTGCTGTGGTGTTGGTGAAAATTTGGTGGTGGCTTTTTGTTGTTTTGTTTGGTTTTTTTTTCTGGCAACCTGCACCAACCAAGTCCTGGAGCCGGCAGAGGGCAGCCAGAGCATGAATTCCCCCCATCAGGCAGAAAAACTCCAGCTAAAAGCCTTCTCTCCTGGATCCCACAGTGCCGCAATGCCGGCAAAGACAGCCCCATTTTGGCACATTTTCCAAGATAACGCTCCACCATCGGATGCTTTTTGATCTTCTCTTGGTCCAGACCTCAAACTGGTAAAAATGAGACCATTTCTCTGCTTGCCCGACATCTGTGCAACCGATGTTACCAGCCCTCAGTGGTTTTGTTTGGGAGGGTGTTGCAAACCAGCTGGAGAAAGAGGGGTTTCCTTTTTAACCGAAAGTGCTTGAAAAGCCACAAATGGAGAGCAGAAAATAGCAAGAGCGTTTGAGATGGTGTCTAATGCTTTCCTGATGAAGAACAAAAAAAGGGAGCTGCTAAAAAACCCCACCCACCCAACAACCAAACCAGAACCATCTGGGTCATGTATAATGTCTCTCCAGCCTGTGCTTTATTTATGATTGCAGGGGTTAATGTATAGTTAATGTATGCACTGGAGTCCAGCAGGAGGGTTGATTAATCACACCAACCCCACAACTATTTCCTGCCGACTCTCCCCGTCTAAAAACCTATTACTCAACGTTCGTTAATGTGCGTCTGCAGCCCATCAATCAGGACATAACTCACTATAAACTTATTTATAGCCAGGATGTTAATGTAAAGCTGTGGTCTGTCCCGGTCACATAAGTGACCACATAAGGCTTTGGGTCTGGCTGGGTGGGGACACTGTGTCCCATGCTGGGGAAGTCCCAGGCTCACAGTCAACTCTCGCTTTCCAAAGCCTCTTGCCCTGTGGGGAAAACCAGGCACCAAAGTGATGCTCAAAAGTAAAAAGAGGTGGGCAGACTTGGCAGTGGCCAAAAGGAACAGGGGAAGGGAAGCCCCACACAGTAAAGGTTGCCCTTTTTTTGGCAAGGTGGCTGGGTTTCCAGGCGAGGTCTTCAGGGAGGATGGAAACGCCAATGCTGAAGTGGCATTTTGGATGTGTTACAACATTACAAACTCACTTAAATCTGCTGTGCAGCACCTTGGGTGCTCAGCAAGGTATTCTACCCCTCCGCAGAGCTAACAGTGGGAAGGGGTCAGGTATTTTGTCTGCAGAGCAAGCTAGGATGGGCTGTTTGCACCGGGACTGTGGCAATTTTTGGCTGGAAGCAAGCAGGGAAAAGTTTGTATCTATCAACCTGAACCCTCAGAGAAGGTGCAGGAGTGAAAGCAGAAGGGCAAGGGGCAGCTGGAGAGTTTGGCAGCATGGCCAAAGGACATGGAAGTGGTCAGATTTGGCACATTTTTCCAGGACTGGAGGATGACAAGGGATGGAGATGGATGGACATGGAGGTAAGAGGATAAAAGACTGATTCAAGCCCTTTTCTTCTTGCATAAAGGGAGAAGCGTTATGAGCTGAGGCAATGGGAGCGTTTCCATGTCTGAAAAGCAGGGCCCCATGTTTTCCCCTGGGAGGATCTCAAGGAATTTCCAGCTCTGGCAGAGATGTATGGAGGAGATCTTGCAGGGGTGAGGCTGCAGGAGCCAGGGTCCCATCCTGCTGCCAAACAAGCCCCCAGCAGTTGCCGTGGCTCAGCCTGTCTTTGGGCTCCTTGTCCTGTTGAAAGTGCTTTACAAGTACTCAGGTCTGCTAGCAAAAATAAAGCAAAGCATGCATGGAGCCATGTGAAGCTCCTGCTCTGCACTGAGAGCCCCCCAGAGCCTTGCAGAGCTCCCCCAAGTGTAAAACCCACTCCAGGTCTCTCCTGTCTTATCCCAGAGGCAGTGCAAAAGGGCAAAGAGGATCGTACACCCCCGACTCACACGGGAGGGGCCCTGCCCTTCCCTCGGCTGCTGCAATAAGCCTGTCTTTTCTTGCAATCCCTTTTGGAGGGCAGGGAGGGACGTGGCTGCCCTCCAAGGAGAAGCAAACGCAACTATTTCTTCACTTCAGCCTGGGTGTGGCCCCGGGGATAAAATTTCCCTGGGCTTTCCCGGGGAAGGCATGGGATACCTTGCCCTGCTGCAAGCCCAGTTTGGTCCCAGGAACACAATGGTGTGTATCCCATCAAAAAAAAAAACAACAAAGGGTAACTCAAAGGACTGCCTGGTTTTTAAAAAACAATTGAAGGAGGAGCTGACAGTCATGGCTGCAGTATTTTTAAATCAGTGGTCCCAAGTATTGCTTCATAGCAAATAGAGCCATTTTGCAGGCTTTGTTTGCAAGCTGAACGGGTTTTTTTAATGTCACATGAGGAAAGCAAACCCATAAAGGGGACAAGGCTGGAAAGAGCCCTTCCCCAGCATCTCCCTGGTCAGCTGTGAGAAACGTGAAAAGCAGAGAGGAGAGATGAGGCAGATTCCTGGCGTGCCTTGGCTCTGCCATCACCTCCCGAGGAGCCAAGGGGAGGGAAGTGCTGCAGGAGGGGAAACTGAGGCTGAAACAGCTGCCAGGGCTTTGCTGGCTGGGAAAGGCTGTGAGGACGGTTGGGTGCTTAGTGCTGTTGGTGTTTTGTTGTGGGTTTGGGTGTTGTTTTTTCAAGCGGGATGGAGAAAGCTGGAGCAAAACCGGGTTCTTCCTTTGGCTGTCCTGGGTTAATTGCAACCCTATCCCAGGCCGGCTCCGTAGCATCATCCTTCCCCACAGAGCGTTTGGACTAATTTTCTTCACGTTCCTCATTTCGACACAACCTCAAAAACTAGCATTTCTTAAATGAAAAGCGGTCTGATCTTGCTGGCTGAGGGAGAGGAGGGAAAACCAGCGGGGATTACTCCAGGAGTAGCCCAAGCCCTGGATCTCTCCAGCTTCATTATGCAGCGCAGGTGGGATATATAGAAAAAATAACGCAATATTCTCCTTTTTCTCTCCTCAAAACTGAAACACCCAGCACCACAATGTATTTTAAAAGCACACATCGTGGTCAATAATGTGAGGTGGAATCGATGCAGCTGGTTACACAAGTGTGTCACCAGGCTACAAGTGATAAACTGGGTTTAAAAAAAAAGGAAACAAAGGGAAAAAAACCCATCTTTTATTCTGAAAATAGATACATGGCACACACAAAGCAAAGCTTTGACATTTTATATCCCAGCTTTCCTTCATGGTATCAGTGATTACAGCAGCCCCCTTCATTTAATTAATAAATTAAGATTTTTTTCACCTGGCTTCAAACAGCTTTCATCTTTATTTTGGTGGTGCCCATTAATGCCCATAGCTGAGAGGTTTTATGAAGAAAAGAAGGTATTTCTCTGGAAGGTTATCCTGTTTGTCAAGGGGGCTTATTGACCTCACTGGGAAAAGCTGGAGGGAGGTGAAGGAGGGGAAAATAGCTCCTAAAAATAAGTATATCCCTTAATTCTCTGTGCGGCTAAACTTTCTCTCACAACCCAGCCGGAGGAATATATTTAATCTCCTTGATCGGATTCCTTCGTCTGAGGCGGAATCTCGCTAAGGTGATCGGGCCACCGCCCGCTGTTTAAAGGGCACGGTGCTCCGTAGAGAAACGAGCGAGGAAAAAGAGAAACGTTGGGGGGGGAAAAATGAGAAATAAGCGAGAAAAAGGAAGTTATTTTCCAGACATAAAGGGAGCCCGGACTGTCCTCTCACGGCGCTGCAGGCGCTGCCCCCCCCGGCTGCGGGTGAAACCTGACCTTCCCTCCCCGCCTCCCCCGCTTGTTGTTTTGTTTTTTTGGGTTTTTTTGTGGTGTTTATTTTTGTGAAAACGCCCCGAATCGCGCGGCGCGGGGGGCTCGGCCCTCAGGGCCCCCCAGGTCTCCCCGCTGCCTCAGGGCCCTGCGGCCCCATCGCCCCTTTCCTTCCCCTGCCGGCACCGACACCTTCCAGGCTTGTTTTTTTCCTCCTAGAGTGAAGTTTTTGGCCCAGAACGGCTCATTTCACACGCCCCCCCTCCCCATCATCACCGCGGGGACCCGAGGTGGGTCGTTTTATCCCTAATTCTTTCTCTCCCACCGCTTTTCTCTCCGCCAGGGGTTGAAGCCGCCGCCTCCCGCGCTCCTGACGGCACCGAAAACACCCGAAAGCGCTTAAAAAAAACAACCAGAGAGACGCAAAATAATAACAAAAACTAATTCCCAACACGCCCGAGGACTGATTTCTCTTCAGAGCCGGAGGGGCACGGACAAGAAGCCGTCGCTGCTCGCCCTGCTGCTCAACCCGCCCGCCGCTCGGGTCACTGAAAGCGCGTCCTGGGTGTGATCAGGTGTGGTAATACCGTAGAAAATAAATAAAATAATATATCTAATACCCCGAAACATCCAAACGCTCGCTGTTGGAGGCTGCAGCCAAGGTACAACGTACGCTTTTTAAA